GCCCGGCCCGGCCGCCCCGCTCCGCGCCCCGCTCCCTCCACACCGAGTGCTGGCAAAAGTTTTGCGCTTGTACCAGGTCCAAGCTCCACAGCTGGGTCTTGTCATCCGAGCCGCCTGCCTTGGCCAAGGGCTGCTTTTCTCCCCTTGCTGTGTTGTTTTTGGTTGGGTTTTTTTAATTATTTTTTTTTTCTTGGCAATGGTAGGGGGAAAAAAAAAACCACCCCGAATTACAGGGGAGCGTATGTACCCATGTACACATGTCTGTGCGTGTGCACACATCCATGCAGATAATGTAGCTGTTTCCAGCGCAGGGAGCGGTGCAGTCCGTGAGTTGTCAGTCATATGACAGCGATCCCCTGGTGCTAATTGCCTCGCTCTTTGAAGAGCGGAGGCTCCTTCCCTTTAATGGACATATTTTGTTGCGCTTTTTTTCCCTTTTTCCCCCTCTTTTTTTTTTGTGTTTTTTTTGTTGTTGTTGTTGTTTTTCTCTCCCTGATTTGATCCGGGATGGCAGGAGCTGCGGTGGCCGCTGACATTTTGGCGTTAGCCCGGGGGGGCCGGGGCCGCTGGCTCCGCTCCCCAGCCGGGCGCTGCTCAGCCCGGTGAGCAGCTCAAATACCTGCTGCCTTGCCAGAAGGACGAAACCTTTCCGAGAAGGTTGCGATGCAAAGCGTTACAACCTTTGCATGCTTACTAACTGTATGCCGTGCTCTTCTTTTTTTTTTTTTTTTTTCTTTTTTTTTTCCCTCCCCCCTTTCCCCTTTCAAAGAGGCAGCTTCACAGTACGTGATTGAAATGGAGCTAAGTAGTTTCCTTCAGGCATTTGGGTTTTTGGCGAAGGGCCAGCCCTCGTTCCCAGTAGCCTTCAGAGGCATTTAAACTCCGAGAGAGCTTCACTCCGGTCCCCATTACTAATTACCTAATGAAGAATTTAAATTAGCTGAGAATATGAAAGTTTAACAAGATCTTAATAAATGCTTTTTTTTACCTGTTTTCATGGAAAATCAGTACACTATTGTGTTGTCCCTGTCGAAACCTTTTTTTGTTTTTTAACGTGCGTTGCAAACCAGTCACCTAATTATAGACGAATACATAAATATTGTGTGCATCGGTGGGTTTGGTTTTGGGGCTGTTTGGTGTGTGGGGGGGTGTTTTTCCTGGTTTTGCCCACATTCCCAGCCTGGCCAGAACATCTGACCCAGTTTACTGGAGCGGTACTGGGGGAGCACGGCGGCTGCTCCCGTGGCAGCTCCGCTCTTGGACAGATGGGAAGGGGCTGGGAGGGGAATGTCTGGCATTTGGGATCAGGTTTTGCTACCGGGCTTGGAAGAGATGATCTTGCTAAAATGAGTAGAGTTTGGTATGGAAACTTGGTGCGTCCATTTTCTGTGTAATGCTTCCATATGGATCCTTTTCTATAGTGGAAAGAATTATCAGCTCGTTGCCATAACAGTTCATACACACACACACACACACCCCCTCCCTTTTTTTTTTTTTTTTGTTCTCTGAAAATGGCTAGAAAGTCAGCAGGGTGAATTGAAATTGAAAACCGCAGTTTCACCCATTTAGGGTGGTTTTGTTTTTTGTTTTGTTTCATGGAGTGGAGGGGGATG